CAACACTACTGACCCTGGCCATTAGAGCTGCCAGGGATAGCGTCAGGAGCTGGTAGGAGTCAAAACCCCTCATATTTGAGACATCGTGGCCCATATACTCGCACAACGAGCCGCCCCACCCCGGTGCCACCGCGCAGCGACCAGCGTCGACGCGGCCGCGCACACCGCTCTTGCTCCGCTCGGGCCCACCGCCCCACCCAGCAGAAGATACGTAACGAGACTCAGCATACAGTACACAACAAAAGAGACACGTCCGGGCATGCACACCCCACCAGCAGAGCACCCCGTGGAGCCTGGACCGAGGGTGGTGCTGGTGCAGGTCGATGATGAGGGATGGGGTCGACCCACTGCGCGCGCGCAGGGGCGGCGGCTGCGCTCTCACCGTCGAGCCGGCGCCGACTCCCGGCACCACAACCTCCGCGAGGCCGGTCTGCCAGCACTGCATACCGGACAGCGTCTGCTGCTGCTGCAACACCGCTTCTACGGCGCCAGCACGCCCTTCAGCTACGGCTCGGGCGCGAAGACCTGCTCGAGCGCCAGCTTCGCCGCCCGCCTCGCCGACCCGGGCTTCGCGGGCGTCTCGGCCGCCTGCCTCGACTACACCTGCCTCGGCAGCTCCTTCAGCCCTCTGCCCACGGCAGGCTCGGAGATGTGCAGTGGGGCAATCGACTCGTCCACCGACCCCTTCTACGAGGGCGTCGCGTGCAAGGGCGCCTTCGCGAGCCCGTCGGACAACTGGCTGAGCGAGTACTCGTGGCTCGCCTGCGCTGGCAAGATGGCCGGCTCCACCTGCGCCGGCATCGCCCCCTCCCCCTTCGCGCAGCTGCAAGCTGACGGGCAGACCATCGCGCGCCTCGGCGGCGACGTCGACAGCGCGACCACCCTCTCGGCCGACACGTCGTACCTCCTCACGTCGCAGCTCTTCATCTCGGCCTCGCTCACCATCCCGCCCGGCACCACGATCTACGCGATGCCGACCGGCCAGGCTCCAGGTGGGCCAACACGCCCCTCCCCTCCCCCCCCGCCCCGTTGGATTGGCCGCTCGATGGAGCTGACCTCCTCCCGCCTCCTCGCGCTCCCCCACAGGCGATGTCGCCCCGGCCATCGTCGTCGAGCAGGGCGGCAGGCTGATTGCCGAGGGCACGGCGGTCCGGCCGATCACCATGACCACCGTCCTCTCGGAGGCGGCGCTTGCCTCCTCGGAGCAGGCCCAGACAGACACCGCCAACCCCGGCCTCACCAACCTCGGCGAGCGCGGCAAGTGGGGCGGCCTCGTCCTGCTCGGCCGCGCGCCCACCTCCGCCGGCAGCTACGCCTCCAACTTCATCGAGGGCATCTCGGGCAGGCCGTACGGCGGGTCCGACCCGGCCGACAGCTCGGGCTCGCTCAAGTACGTGCGCGTGTGGCACGGCGGCGCCATCATCGGCGCCGACAATGAGATCAACGGCATCACCTTTGGCGGCGTCGGCTCGGGCACGACCGTCGAGCACTGCGAGGTCGCCCTCAACCTGGACGACGGCTTCGAGTTCTTCGGCGGCACCGTCAACGTCAAGTGGCTCTCGGCCCTGTTTGTGGGCGACGACGCGTTCGACGTCGACGAGGGGTACCAGGGCAGCGGCCAGTTCCTCTTCGCCATAGTCGGCGTCGACGGCAACCACGGCACCGAGATCGACTCGAAGACGGGCGGCAACCTCAACTCGCAGCCCCGCTCGCACCCCGCCTTCTACTCGATGACCATCATCGGCGGCGGCACCCGCTCCGCACGAGACT